TTCTGTTTCGCACACTTGCATGCTGTAAAGATATCTGCGGCTACATAACGGCTACGTTGCTGTAGTACCCACACGAAGACAGCTCTGGTAGCCGGGAGTCATGACTGAATCGAGGTGCAAGGGAAATGAATGGACATGCCATTGCATAGGATGTGGTGAAAAATGATCGATTCAAGAACCTTTCCGAGGTGGTCTAGCATTCGGTCGCGTTTGAGTGATGCAGCGCGCTTCTAGTCATGGCAGATGCCCATTACCCTGAATCAGATATAGCCCTTGAGTGCCATGATTGTCTGTGTCTAGGAGACACTCTCATCTCATTGGGTCCAGGACGATATTATCGATCAAGCGCACAGGTACCTGTCGACCTTCAGAGTCCAGCTGGCCTAAATCTTCACCCTCTTGCGGCTCCTCGACTGGCAGCATCTTGACTGCACCACTAAGTATAGCGCCTTTCGAATCATCAATTTGGTCAATCTCTTCCATGGTGTCAGGGTCTGCAAGGCTAATGTAGTCGACCTCAAACTTTGCGCGTTTGCTAGGCTCCATCTGTTCTTGCTCGATCAATGTCATGTTACCGTGGTCGAAAGCAGGCCAGAGGACGTCGTTCCGTAACCTCATGCCATTGTTGTATTGTAGTTCTGCTTTGCGAAGCGCTTGATTGAGGACAATGCCAACATTACGACGACGCGCGCCGAGGTAGACATTGCGAGAAGAGAGCGCAAGGCCGTCTGACTCTCTTGAAGTGGGAATGATACGCAAGCTGGTATCCAGATGGAAGTCCTGAATTAGGCGCTTGATGACGCGAGTTTGCTGGACATCTTTCTGCCCAAAGTAGACGCGATCTGGCGCGCAGATGTTGAAGAGCTTCATGCAGACTGTCGCTACGCCGCGGAAGAAGACGGGTCTTGACGCGCCTTCGAGAAGCTGGCCAAGCGGACGCATCTCGATGAAGCTCCCCACACCTGGTATACTGCTGTCCGGCGGTAGTGTGGGGTACATGGTCTTTGTGGTTGGTGCGAAGACAGCTGTCACGCGCCCTTGGTTTGCGCTCGCCAGCTCCTGGTTAAGCTCTTCCAAGACCTGCATGTCTGCCTCCCATGTCTTCGGGTACGAGGCAAGATCCTCATTCAGTCCAAACTGTGTAGGGTTCACATAGATGGTGACGAAGACGTCGGTGTTTTCGGCAGCTGCGTGTCGCATGAGCGAGACATGGCCCTCGTGCAGGGCGCCCATCGTCGGAACAAGGCCGACTGTGCGGCTGTTGGAGCGTAGGTCGCGGCGGAAGTCACGTAAGGGCGCGACATCGCGGAAGATATGCGTTGCAGATGCGGAGGACGAGGTATTGCGCAGTGATGGACTGGTGGAGAGGCATCGGATGCCATTGCCGATAGGAGCTTGCAGTGGACGCGCAAAGTTGCTGAACATGCATCTTCGTGCTATCGGGACTGTACGAGATTAGTCATTTGGATCAATGGCGTATGTTGGGTAGCATACTCACCGGCTGCGAAACGGAGGGAAGCCATTGCGGAGAGTTGCGGAAGTGTCGCGGACAGAGCTCTGCCTTAGCTATCGCGTCGCGCAACAATGGGGAAGAAGCGAGGATGTCTCTCTCGCAACTCGGAAGCGGACAGATCGCGAAGAGTCAGCGAGGAGGCAGCCATGGTGATCAAGTTGAGAAAGGTCAAGACGACTCGTTTCTGCGCTGAAGGTCCCATCATGGAGGGAGTGCCCGTCTGAGCCTAGTGCCCCACTAAAAAGATCCCAGGCTCGAGATTTCCCTCTCTTTCGCACCAGCACCCCGCCAGATCTGCCACCACACGCGACGACATACGACACCATGGCTGACGATGGCATGCTCCTCAACTTCTCCATACCGGACAGCGGCATACTATCGAAACCCTCATTCAAAGGCGGCAACTGGAAGGAGCGACTCACTGCGAAGAAGGCGGCGCAGAACTGGCACACCAAGGCTACAGCACGACTGAACGGCGAGAAGGTACCGAAACAGGTGGTCGACAATGCGACAAATGTAAACCGCATAGAACTAGGCCCGAGGAAGGCACGTGTAGAGAAGAGCCCAGGGTTTCCCGATTCCGGCGACAGACCAGTAAAGCGAGCGCGCGTGAGCGGAGACTTCAGGCCAAGGACGACGGAGAAGACAGACGATGTCGACTTCAGACCCCAATCGAACCCGAATCCGAACCCCGCGAAAAGACCAAGCGAGCAGAACAATGCGCCAAAGGGTGGGAAGCAGGTCATTTCCTCGCTGTTCACCTACAATCCCACATCGAAGACGAAGCCCGAAGCGAACGAACGCCGCGAAGACGATGCGCCCGTAGAACCCTCGAACGCGCCACTCAGCAGCGAGCTAGATACCTTCACATCCCTTGGCATGTCCACGACTATTGCGGCGCATTTGCTGAAGAAGATGGAATTGAAGGCACCGACCGCGATTCAGAAGGCTGCCGTCACACAACTCATCAAAGACGATTCCGACGCCTTCATACAGGCAGAGACCGGTTCGGGAAAAACCCTGGCATATTTGCTACCTATCGTACAGCGACTCATGGAGCTCTCTGCGAACATGAGGAAGCGCAAAGTCGACGAAAGCGTGCAGAGAAACTCGGGTCTTTTTGCCATTATTCTGGCACCAACACGCGAGTTGAGCAAGCAAATCGAGCATGTGCTGGAGAAGCTTTTAGGCTGCGCGCATTGGCTTGTTGCTACAACAGTTATTGGTGGTGAGAAGAAGAAGTCTGAGAAGGCACGGTTACGCAAGGGCATCAACATACTCGTCGCGACACCTGGTCGATTGGTCGACCATCTGGAAAACACAGAAGCTTTGGATGTCAGCAATGTCAGGTGGCTCGTTCTGGATGAAGGTGATCGGCTCATGGAGCTTGGTTTTGAGCAGGAGATCCAAAAGATTGTAGGAGCATTGAACCTGCGAATGCGTGCGAGGAAAGACGAGAAGTCCAGAATACCAGGCCTGCCAGAAAAGCGCACAACGGTACTCTGTTCCGCAACCATGAAAATGGACGTGGAGAGGCTTGGGCAGATAAGTCTGAAAGATGCAGTACACATTCGAGCCGATCCGTCAGAGAAGGGACCAGAAACAAGCGAGCCAGGAGGTGGCCATTCATTCTCTGCTCCAGCGCAGTTGAAGCAGTCTTACGCTGTGGTGGCACCGAAGCTCAGATTGGTATCATTGATAGCCTATCTGAAACGAGCTTTCGCGCGGAAGGGATCTGTGATGAAGGCTATCGTCTTCATCTCGTGTGCCGACTCTGTCGACTTTCACTTTGACATGCTCACCAGCGAAATCGAAGGGATCACCGAGACAAAGAAGAAGGAAGAGGTACAAGAAGAGGAGGAGGGCGACAAGGCTGAGGAAGCCGCCGACGACGCAGAAAAGAAACCAAAGAAGACCAAAGCGATAACACAGGCAGACCCCACCAAGCTCACAGTGACAGGTGCGGAGTCACCCGTACTTTCTGCAAAGACGCACACAGTCACAGCATACCGTCTCCACGGTTCATTACAACAAGCCGTGAGAACTTCGACACTCGCCCAATTCACAAAGAACAAAAACCCCTCGGTTCTCATCGCTACAGATGTCGCATCCCGTGGTCTTGATCTTCCCAACGTCGACCTGGTCATTGAATTTGATCCCGCCTTCGCCCGAGAAGACCATTTGCATCGAATCGGTCGTACCGCGCGTGCAGGTCGCGACGGACGAGCATGCATCTTCCTAATGCCGGGAACTGAAGAAGGCTACGTCGAGATCCTAAAATCAGACAGAAAAGACCTAGAAGCTGGAGTACATGTCGTGCGTCAAGATGCCGATGACATCCTCAACCGAGGATTGGTAACCAGCGGAGTTATGGAAAAGAACGCCTACATGGACAAAGCAACCGACCTCCAGCTCGCCATTGAGCGCTGGGCTCTAGCATCCCCTGCTCGTTTGGAAGCTGCTCGACGAGCCTTCCAAAGCCACATCCGCGCCTACGCAACCCACGTTGCAGATGAACGTCAATACTTCGATATCAAATCGATGCATTTGGGCCACTTGGCTAAAGCATTTGCTCTCCGCGAACGACCATCTGGAATGAAGATTCCGGGACAACGAACAGGTGCTGGACGAAACGACAAAACACCTGCTAGGGCGCGCGGTGGTCCGAAGGTGGATCTGGCCAGTCGCAAGGCTGATACGGGTACATCGAAGAGGGCAGTTGTGGATTTGGATCTTCCCGAGGGCGCGGATACGGATGAAGCGGCGAAGATGAGGAAGGCGGTTCGTGCGAAGGAGAAGTTTATGCGTCATGCGGGTATGGCGAGCGAGTTCAACTTGGGTTGAACAAACTTATATCGCAATGAAATGTCAGCCCTGTGGCACATCCCTCTATTAAAGCATTCCATCTTCTCTGAATTCATTAAAGAGGCCGAGGAGACGAGGTCTCCAGCAGGTGTAGCTCTGGTATACCTGGGTGCGCCTTTGACCATTGAACCCGGCCTGCGCCGTGATGAGACTGTGCCGTTTACACATCCACATATCTGCTGGATGACATTACTACTTCTACACGGGAACATCCATGGATCTGGCACCTGAGCATTTCAAGACTAGGACGGATTAGTACTACCGAGGCTCATCGAGCGCCATCATGTGACATCATCGGCCAGCCTGGCTCAATGCCCCCAATCTACCGCACGCGACGCGCCGCCATCGTCGAAGCATAGATCACAAAGCGAGATAACAGAATCGTAGTCGCAGCGAAGTGATATATCCCGGATTTCAACCGGAAAGTAGGTTAAGTAATGCTGAGCGAGCTAAGCTGTGTTCCGTTCCAAATCCAATCAAGTTATCCCTTGCAAGCCACATGCCCAGGTGTCGTCTAGGCCTCCAGCCGTGTGCATCACTAGATGACCATACGTGACATGGCCGCTGGTGATGTGCTGCGCCGCGCGAACTCGGGACCGTATTTCTTCCATTTGTTAAGAGAATGAGTTTCGGAATCAGCATTGGAGATGTGCTCAAGCTGTGTGAGCTAGCTGGTAGAGTCTACAAGAACTGTCTGCTTTCCCCACCACCCCGTACCTAGGTAGCTCTCATCGTGCTGACTTCAACATAGGTCGCGACTGCTCCGGCGAATACAAAGATCTTACATCGCAAGCACGAACGTTAACGAACCTACTCGAGGACATTCAAGACAAGTACGACAAGATACCCGAGAGCAAGCGGCAGCAGCTCATCGACGCGTACGAACCGTGTATCGAAGTGCTCGAAGAGCTAGATAAGCTGGTGCTGCACTACAATGGGCTCGACACGAAAACCAAACGCGCTTGGGACCGGCTCAAGTACGACCCTGAGAAGTCACGAAACATACGAGAGCGCCTCATCGCGAGCGTATCGATGCTCAATTCCTTCTATACATCCCTGATACACGATAGCCAGGTTCTTATCCTAGAGGCTTTGGAGAGGTTGGAGAAGGACTACAAAGGCGGTCATCGCGAAGAAAGCATTGCTTCCATCGAGAGACTCACGTCTGGAGGCACAGCCGACGATGACGACGATGACGAGGAGGCATGGAGCCAGATTCTCCGCGACCTCGAAGATGTGGGAGTATCACAACAGCAGGCTCTAAGCTACCGGGATGTCATCGTAGACTGGCTTGTCACAGCTGTCAACGAAGGGAGGCTTTTGGAGGAGCGACCAGAGCATGATGGTCTAGCAACTATGTCTGGGGATCTCGGGACCACTCTTCCTGAATTTGACTTCGATCGACGACCGCATAGTGTTGATGTGCCAGCGATCGTCTCACCTGCGTACCGGGGCTCACACAGTCCTCCCACAGCGCTGCCTCTGGCGTCTAGCCCGCCAATAACGCAAAGGCAACAGATCTATCTGACCCCTTCAGCAACTTCTCGAGCACATTCGACCACCTCCTTGCAACCGTCCCAACCTGCTGAGTTGGAGGCATCATCGCTCTACGCGGAGCCACACCCAGCGTCCCAGCCTACTACTCCCATGGGCTCCAACAGCCATGCGATCAGACGCGTTCCAGTTCAAACCCCAAAAGCTACGGTTCCCGTCACGCCCACGTACAGTATCCCAATCGTAGCGCCTACTTCCCGGACTGTTTCCTCTTTACCAGACCCTTCTTTTACAGCTAACATGGGAATATCCGGTGCACCTCGGACGTATGATGAGAAAGAAACATTAGTTACGGTGGACCTCGAGTGGAACGCACAACAAATAGTTGCCGCGTGGACTCGGGGTGACTTTGTCACTGCAGAGAAGCTTCTTGAAGACCAGCTGGCAGCTGTCGAACGGGGACAAACATCTAGGTCTGGGACCCAGCCCGACCGACGTATTCTTAGGCATCTACTTGGAGTTTGTGCCTCCTACACTGGGAAATACGCCAGAGCAAAATATTTGTTCGAAAGCGTGTTCAACGGAATCTACCTGAATCGTCAAAACCTGGACGATGGTGATATAGCTGCAGCACGGTGGCTAGGGGACGTCTGTCTACATATTCAACAGCATACGAACGCCGCCCTTGCGTATTGCGTTGCATATGAAGGATCCATTGGTCGCCTGGGAGTGGCACGCGACCGCACCTCAAGGATAGCCGCTGAAATAAGGCTCGTCGATCACTGGCTGTGGGTGTTCAAGAGGATCGAGGCTACCCTTGAGCTAAATATGGATCCAACCAATATCTTTACATCTACAAATGTCGTTGAGAAGAGCAACCTGATGATGGCAGTCAGAAACAATGTTTACGATATGCCCGGGATTGATGGTCGCGGTTCATTGCCACCGGCTGCGGGGATGCGTCCATCTCTCAACTTGAGCCCTCGACCACAATGTACTACAACAATCTCAGAAGGCTTTCTTCTTGGACCTCTGATATCTACAAGCACATGGCCACTGCCTTGGGACAACCTCTTTTGTCCTGTGGATGCTGTTCAGCTGGATCGCTGCATGGGCGTAATACCTATTGCAAATTTCATTGGCCAACCGCTGTCTGAGCGCCAGCTACCATCGAACTCACTAGGCGACTCGAAGAAGCTGCATTTTCTTACTAAGAGAGGCAGTCGATGGCTGATAGATGCCGTGAAACAAGGGCTCCGCGAGATGGGAATCGACTATGGCGAGCATAAGTATGAGCCTTCGATTGTGTGCCGCATCAATCAGCAGCGTGACGGTGTGGTTTTCTCTGAAGGGATTGAGATCGGCTTCAGCAAGCTCCCATTCCGTGATGTCTATGGAATCAAGGTTTCGCATGTGAAGTGGGCGACGCGACGATTCCTCACATATGGCTCTCACGACACGGCCGATTTCAGGAACATTGTGAAGAGTTTTCTGGAGAGGGCGGAGGCGGAGGCAGACCTTCCAAAGTCGACGCACAATGTGCAACATGGAAGTATGGGCGTACACCCGCAAGCGTCCCATGCATCGCCAGGCCTCAAGAGACCGTCTTACGCTTGAGTTGTGGCGAATGTTCTGCTTTCAGTACACATTATCGGAACAATTCTGAGAGTGTTACCAGTCAACAGCGCGCTCTGAACTCTGCTGATCTATCCTGCAGCGTCAACAATAGTCCCAGGTTGCCTACATGAGCTTTGTGTCGGCCTCTCACATTCAGCGCGCTTTGTGGGAAACGGCATCATCTGGCGCTGATACTACATCGCGGTTGGATATGGTCCACGCGTTCTGAGGAACAGGTAGGGGTCCGTAGGCATCTGAGGTCGTGACACGCCGGGGCTACCCAGACATCTTTGATGTGTTGTTTTCTTTTGCTTTCTCTCGGAAATCAGCAGCGGCTCTAGAACTCAGCCCCTGCATGATATTGCGAGGTTCGGGAACCGATGACAGCCATCCCAAAGGAAATCTCAGTGTAGTACAACGCGTAAACCTTGGGGGCTAGCCGCCTCACAAAAGAATCGACATTATCATCGCAACCGTACTCGCTCATCTCGGACAACCACGACTTGAGACGTCCATCCCGTCATTTGCGCCCAACGACCAAATTGTGTTTTGCGGTGGTGTCAACACATTCAAGGGCCAAACCTCGCCGCAGTCTGGCGTCCTACATAGGCCCCAGGAGGCGGCGTGACTCTTGGCACTAGGGGCCGAGATTTGCACTGTGGGTGACTTTGCGAAATGACTGTCAGCCTGACCCGCCGAAGTTCCAACAGCCTCCTGAACCAAACTTCTACAGCTTTCCATGTTCGACGATCCGTAGCGCGCAGGCAAGGAGTGGATGTGTACTGTCCTGCTATCGGTGGACTGTATCATCAACCCCGCTGCTGACGTTCTACGGCGCCTTTATCTGCACATGGCCGATAAAGAGATCGACCCGCAAGGCGCAAACTCGTTTAATTAAGGCTCCGTACCTGAATTAGTGTTGTCTGAGAAAAGCGCCATCCACTTGGGTAGCGGGTGAGCTTACCAGAACCCCGACTAGGGCCTCGCTAAATTGGTCGGTTTGTGTTTCATGTTTCAGCGGCACAACCTCAACGATGCCTTGATTGGCCTGTGGTGCCTGGTGCTGACAGCATCTTCGGAACCCAGCGTTACTGCTAGGAAACAGAACAGCGGGCTCGAACGCCTTTACGATCGATGCAGGGAACGAAACCCGTAACGGCGGCAAAGCGGATGCAGACCCCAGGGATATCGATGTTTGCAGGAGTCAGGTGTAATGAGGATTCGGGGGATGTGCACCACTGGTCTAGGCTAAGCTCGTGAATCAAAAGCGTCGAGCCGCCGCCCTCGAATAGGCTTTCTTTCTTCACCTTCGACACACACGAGGATCTCTTCTTCAAAACCCGACTTTCTGTCTCTCCTTCCAAGGCGCTCGGCTGCCTATTCCATTCCTTCATTGTCGCTAGTCGGCACATTCATTCATTCACCTACATTGTGTCCCAGTGACCAAACAACCTCGTCCGTGTATTATCCTATCACAATTATCTTCCCAGATAAACAATTACTCTACTTCGTATACGATCATCAACCGAGTTACTTTCACCATGAAGACCCAATCTATGCTCCTCGCGGCCCTGGCGTCAGCCCCCGCTGCTCTTGCCCACACTGTCTTCACAGACTTCATGATCGACAGCATGCCTCAGGTTTGTTTTCCCAATCTTTCTAGATGCAGTCTACTAACAACAAGTAGGGTGATGGTGTCGCCATCCGCATGAACCCCAATGCTGCCAAGGCTAGCAGCCCCGTTCCCAGCCTCGACAGTGACGACATGGCCTGCAATGTCGGTGGTACAAAGGGTGTTTCTCGTGTCCAGCCCGCCAAGGATGGTTCCCTCATTACTTTCGAGATCCGCTCATGGCCCAACGACCCCACCAAGGAGCGTCTTGACCGCGGTCACGTAGGTCCCTGTGCCGTGTACCTGAAGAAGGTTTCCGATGCCAGCACTGACACGGCTGCTGGTGACGGTTGGTTCAAGATCTTCGACCACGGCTACGACTCGTCCACCGACCGCTGGTGCACCGATGAGATCATTGACAACAATGGTCTCTTGTCCGTGAACCTCCCCAAGGGCCTTGAGGGTGGTGACTACCTTGCTCGTCCAGAGATCCTTGCTCTTCACGCCGCAAAGGACGGAGACCCACAATTCTACACTGGTTGTGCCCAGATCTTTGTTGAGAGCAGCGGGAACCTCGTTCCCGAAAGCACTGTTTCCATTCCCGGCTACGTCAAGTACAACGAGCCATCCACCGACTTCGACATCTACAACAAGGATGCCAAGGACTACGTTATCCCCGGCCCCAAGGTCGCCAAGCTCACAGCCGGCGGCATGAAGAAGGCTTCGACCGTGCAAACTGCGGGCCTGAAGCCCGAAGGCTGCATCATGGAGAACGCCAACTGGTGCGGCAAGGAGGTCTCTTCATACAGCACCGAGAAGGGCTGCTGGGCTTCCGCTACCGAGTGCTGGGACCAGGCCGATGTCTGCTATGACGAGGCTCCCGCAACCGGTAACGCAGGCTGCAAGCTCTGGCAGGAGAAGTGCAAGGACATCAACGCACAGTGCACGGCCATGAACTTCAACGGTCCTCCCAACAAGGGCAAGATCCTTACTCCCGAGAAGAAGAGCATCGACGTTGGCAAGATCATGGCTGTTAATGGCGGTGGTATCGTGGATGCGCCTGCACCCAAGACCAGCTCCACCAAGCAGTACGAGGCACCTGCGAAGGCTTCCCCCAAGCCTGCAGCTGACAAGGCCACCCCTGCTGCGCCTAAGCCTACGGTCGATGAGTCGTACGAGAGCCCTCCCATTGTTGAGCAGCCCGTTGCTGCTGCTGCTCCCAAGCCTACGCAGCAGCCTACGACGCTTTCCAAGGCACCCGTCTCCACCATCACTGTTGCCCCTTCGTCCGCGAACGCGCCTGCGCCCACCCAGCCGTCGTGCCCTGAGGGATACAAGTGTGTGTATGTCACGGATGTCGAGGTTGTCACCGAGACTGTCTACGTGACTGCTACATACGATGGATACAGGAGGAGGCACATCATGTACCGCGCTTAGATGTACGGTACTGAGACGTGTTATGTGGAGTTTGAGGGAAAAGGACAAAACGATTACTTTCTGCGACGACGATCGCGAGCTGATAAGCTCTGTTTGGGATGAGGTTTGCTTTTTTAGCTACGAATGATAAATGTTCACTTGTCGCAAAGCTGAGATCTGAATGCGTGCCTATTTCTCTCCTTCGATTGTCCGCATCTTGACGCTTCCGTCCTCCATGCCGAAGTATACAGCGACAGGCTTTTGACCACCTCGTACGGTCTTGGTCAGTTGATCCTGCTCGCGAAGTTCCTGTGCATCGATTCCGTTCAGACCGGAGAAGATACCGACTTCCAATACACCGGTCAAGCCCTTGATGGCCTTGCTTATCGTGTTGACCTCCCATGTACCATCTGTTCCATCGCCCTTGCCCTTGCCAGCTGCAACGTCCGC